TGAGCGGCCACTAGTCTGTGGAATGTATTTTTCAGCAGAAGATATAAAAGTGTTGGTGAAATCGTTAACGTCTTTCTCTGTGTTTCCACTGTGACATTTATTGGTGGTATATGTCTGGTGAAACTGGACCAGTCTGCACGGTTGGTACACTAACGTTTCGGTAAATATACTGCGTTCTTTGGTATATTTGATATCAACATAGGAAAGTGATTACTCTGATGAAGATCTGGCATTGGTATCCTCGTCAACCGTGTTGAAAGATTTGGATTAGATATTGGGAGATCAGTGGCCGAGAATGAGCCATTTTTAGCGTTAAAATGAGTGCTTGCTCCTTTGTTTAAAAGTGCCTATTCATTGTTAAGTAGCAGGTCATCGATTCTGCGACCGGCGTCATTTGTTCTAGAACAGCCCCACGTGGTACTGTGAGCATTGAAGACGCCTAGAATTAGAAATGGAGGATGTAGTTGATCGATCAGGTCTTGAAGATCTTAATTTTGCCTTGAGGTATTGGGTAAGTATATGCAACTTAACGTCATCTTTAATGGCTTGTATAAGGTTACAACTACTGCTTGTAGTGGTGTGTTGAGATCGAGACAACTAGCAGGATGTGTATTGCTGATCAATATGGCAACACCACCTCTAACTCGTCTATCAGGTTCTACGTCACTGCGAAAGGTCTAAAATCCTCTAAAAATGAACCGGTCTTCTAGTTTAAAATGGGTTTCTTGTAAGCGCACACAGACATTGATGTGTGATTGGCCAGTAGCAATTTCAGCTCACAGTAATGCGAGAAACAGCCATTAATGTTCCATTGAATAATATTTTCCGTGGTTGGAATGGGGTTCTGTGGCTATAGGATGCCTAGATCTTGCTTATTTTCTTGGGTTTCCTCTTGGTCATCGTTTCTTCTTTTTCTTCTTATGCGGGATTTTGTTTAGATTGATGTACTAGTAATCATTATTTTCCGCACTTACCATCGAACTTGTCTCAGAGTCAGTGTCCTGATCATTAGTAATTGATGATTTCGTTTTTTGTTTGAGGAAGTCGTTCTTGGTGTACTTAGGAGAACGAGGCGATCGACTTCGATAGCCTTTTGCTGATACTTCTTTGCAGAATGTGGCTGCAGGAGAAGATTTCTTTCTGCCTCATTTGGTGGGGGTCTTGAAGATTGTTTTTCATTTACTATTTCACTTTGAGTGTTTGTGGTTAAGTCTTCTGTATTTATTGTGTTGTTGTGAATTTCATTAAAATACTTTTCTATGCACCGAGTTTCTGCAGGCGTTAGGCAAATTTGAAAGAAGGCAAATTTGTGTTTTTAGTTGCTGTTTCTACGTATGTAATATTTCCTTTATTTTCAGAACACACAAGTTTGTTGTTTTGCTTCAGGATAGCTGAGCTTCTATCTGAATTTTCTTGATGTATTGCTGCCTCCTGCTTATATACTTGTCAGTTCCTTCACCTTGATGAATATTATCCGCTGCAATTAATACATTTGATAGGATCTATGCATGGATCATCACTATGAAATGGCTTACCACAGTGACATACTTTAATTCTCGCACATCTAGATGCTGGGTGTCCAAATCGAAAGCATTGAAAACACTGCATTGGTTGAGGAATGAACAATCGTATGGTTAGACGATGAATTGCTGCTTTAATCTTCTCTGGCAACGTACGATTGAACGTCAAGAATGGGACGCTGAATGAATTATCTGCCCATCCCGCCTCATTGCTAGCCTACGACAGGCAATGACTCCTTGAGAAGCTAGTTCTTGAACTATTTCCTCTTCACTGCAGTTTAGTAAGTCACTACAAACTACAACACCTTTGCAGGTATTCAGCGTGCCAGGAGCACTTACTTCAACATCTATAGTGCCTATTTTCTTTCATTCTAATAACTTTTTGCCTTGATTGTCATTGAATGTTTCTATCAAGAGTCCAGATGGAATTTTCTGTATGTCATGTACGGCAGATCCAGGAGAGGTGCTAATACTCTTCTCTATTAAAAATGGGCTCACTTTATCAAAATTTCCTTCAGTTCTTTTAACTGTAAGGCACTTTAGTACCGCTGCGGTGTTTTTGAACAAGTCATCATAGTTTATTGGTTTTACAATTTTCATTATTTTTGCATTGAACTCAGGGTTTTTTAGACGAGGGTTTTTAAGGGATTCCTCAACCGTAGATGCGCAGACTTTCATACGAGTCCCGCGAAGCTTGCTATCACTCGTAGCAGTATCTGCCAGCGGTGCCGAGTGATCCGCAACCCTGGCATTGCAGTCGCTGGGTGACGACGCCCGGTGGCCTGCTTGCGCATCACCGACCACCGGTACTGGGGCTCCGATCCCCTGCACCGTAACGGCGGCAGCGGTATCGGTAGCGGTAGTAGTAGTAGCGGTAGTAGTAGTAGTAGTAATAGTAGTAGTAGTAGTGGAAAAAAAAGGGAGAGGGGGAAAAAAATTTGTAAAAAGCGGGTTAAAAGTAGTTTAATAAATTAGCCAGTAAGTTTTTTAGTGTTTAGTGGGAAAGTTTGGGTTTTAAAGTGAAGTAAAAGTCGTAAGTAAAAAGTGAGTAGTAATAGTAGTAGTAGCACATAGTCAGCAGCAGCAGGCGGTAGCGGTAATGTAAGTAGCGGGTAGTGTATTATAGTAGAAGAGTAGTAGTAGTAGTAGTAGTAGTAAAGTAGTAGAAGTAGTC